AGTCTCTGTGGTGATAGGCTAGTTGGAAAATAGCTCATGTGGTAAAAAAACTAGGATTTAAGCCCCTGTGGTAAAGTTTGTTAGGATTTATGCCCAATATTGAAAATTCCGTCTACTTTTTGTTAATTATTAGCACGTGGGGTAGGCTCACGCGCTACTCATTATCAAAAAAATTGACGAAATTTTCAATTTTGGGCATAAATCCTTACAGACTTCACCACTGGGGCTTAAATCCTAGTCTTTTTGGCACAGGGACTATCTTCCAATTATCCAATCACCACAGGACTAATAATCCAATTAGGCCTAAAAGATACCAATCCAACTAGTCTCTATCGATAAAACCATCTTTTGAATCGAGCTTATCATTGCAGCATTCTATTAAGAACTATGATTAAGCACGTTTTTCACAAATCATCCATTTGCCAGTGTAACCACCCAAGTTCTCAAAACAACGTAAAACACGAAAAATTGCACAGATTAAAACGATCATACAGTACCAAGCATATATAGCATTCAAAACAATGACACTAAACATTACATTCCAATAATAATGCACAAATAATTAAATGCAGCAGCCAGCAGGTGGAACCCATTGGCCACGTGAACTTATTTAATCGCTGACAATTTTGGTTTGGTTGCTAATGCTCACTCACAATTCATCAAGATAAGGATAATGCACCAATAAATATCTACTTAAACAATTGCTTTCCCAGAATCATATTGTCAGTGCAAACTAATTGTCAACTATTTATTTATTTATTTATTTTTATGTATGAAAAAGACCCAGAAATTACAAATGAAAGCTAAGAAACTTAATTTTTTTATAAAAATATAAAAAAATTAAAGCTTTGTGATTCTGCCATTGTTTCCAGAAAAAAAAAATAATAACTAAACAGAGCAAAAATTTGATCTTTAAGCAGTTTAGTAACTAAAACATAAATAAATTGACGATCAAAAAGTAAATAAATCAAAATAAACAAACTGAAAGGTAAAAAATCTTACATTTCCAACATGAAATAAGAATAAAAATGGAGTTAAAGTTTAAACCTTTTAACATTCGAATTCAAGAACAATATTACCCAAAAATAATAATAATAATTAAATAAAAGCAATTTTTCAGAAGAAAACATCAAAACTAGAAAAACCCGTTAAAAAAAAACAGAGAGACGATTACTTACAGAGTATTTGCATGCTGAATATCAGCTTCAAGAACTTTCAGAGAGTCCTTGAACGACTTTCGCATTGAGGCTATGTACATCTCCAAATTTTCCAAATTTCTTTTAAAAATTTGAAATAATTACAAACCCAAAGAGATAGAGAAATGTTCAATCAGCCCCTCCAAGAAGAACCCTAATTTTTTTCCCTTCCCACTCCCAAAAACCCTCGCTTTCTCTCTCCACTCTCTCTCTCTCTCCCCCTCGCTCTCTCTCCCTTTTCTTTTGCAGTCGCCTCAGCCTTCGTGTTGCTTCTATGGTGTTCTTGAAAACGAAGACGAGAGCGCCTGGACACGTGTCCGCCCAACTCAAAATATTTATTTAAAAGTAATCGTAATAAAAGAATTATATATAATTTATTTTTTATGAAAAAAAAAGGGAATAGCGTCGAAAATTTCACGGGTGTTATATCCACTCCCTTTGGCCTTTGTCTGCCACTTTTCCCCTTCCCTTTCTACTCGTTAGCTTTTCCTCCACGCACCGATGTGATGATCGTTACACCCGCCATCTCCTCTACTGTTGCCCCTCCCACTTCCATCTATTTTCAAAATTACCCTTTCTTAATTTTATCTTTTATCTTTCTTTTTTTTTAACCTCTTGGGGTTGGTAAAATTAGGTGAAGTTTTTGATACAGTTGTCACATTATCACGTATTGTTAGTGACGTGTGATTCAAGTGATATTGTTTAGAGAAACAAAATCGAAACACATGCTAACAATCTGTAATACAAAGGTCTCACATACGAGAAATTTTTTAATGTATTGGAAACACGGCCCGATACAACAGATGTAGTTCAATTTTGTTTTTAATGAGAATCGAACCTAAGACCTTTCACTTACAAGTGAAGAGGAATATCCCTAAACCGTAGTATTAAATAACAAAAATATATGATTGTTAATAATAAAGAAATGTGTTATTATAGAATTATAACATCACGTGATACAGTTATAATGTGATAGTCAAGTTAAAACTCTCTCGTTATGTAAAACATACTAACAATTTTTCCGTTCATAAATATCTAAACTTCAAAGGATTTGAGACTTTATACATTAAATTAATCTAACCTACATAAAAATGGTTCAATTCAAGTGGATAAATGGAGTCCACCAATGTAGTTACACTTATGTATTTCTCAAACTATATCTTTATATATAAAGCCAACAATTTTTTTTTTGGGATTACAAGCTTCACTAAAAAGTTTTGGACAAAAATTACCCCAAAACAAAAAATTTAAGAAGTAACCCAAAATAATGCACCAAATAATGTAGGGGTATTTTTGTCATTTTAATAGTGTTTTTTAATAATTCTTTTTGTACATTTTTTTTAATTAGTATCTCATAATAGACTAGCAATAATGTGATTCAATCAATTGTTCATTAAATATTATTTTCTCTATTTTTAAACACGTTCAATACATTAAGAGACGTGTAATGCCGGTTATAAAAAAGGTATTTCGCACGCGCATAATAATGTAATTAAATTAGTTATCAAATGTTTTTTTTTAATAAACAATATTATCTACACTAAGGAGGATGAGGGTGGGCTTAGCCTCACAATGAGCTAGTAATAATATAATTCAATCAGTTATTTATTAAATATTATTTTCTCTATTCTTAACGTAAATTCAATAGAATGTAGATGAAAATTGAAAGGTCGATTTTATTATGCGAATTCAGCTGCTTTGATTGGTTTGTGTGGGGTTTTTTTTTCTAGCATGATCTAAGATTATTTATTTACTTCAAATATTTGACTTTCCTTTTATTAATTCACGCATATAAATACATTTAAAATGTGTAAGTCGCACGTAGCACGTGGTGATTCAAAAAATGTCTTATGCACGTGCGTGAGTGCGTGCATGAAGGTTAGTGAGTTTTAAACCTAACAATATTTAAGGTTAGACTTTAGTCGTATTTCTCTACTCATTCATTGTGATTGAGTCTTTGCTCTATCAACTCAAGTTTTAGGACGTGCTTAATGCAATCTCATTAACAAATACGGGGTAATCAATACCGATTACAAATATAATCCACCTAACCTAGTCTCTTTTATACCTTTTTTTTTCATGAAAATTTTGTTATTATTAAAAAGAGATAAGAGAGTTCGAAACTATAATTGAGGAGAGAGAATTTTGATCCACAAGAATATCAGACCACATTCAGCCTCTCTCGTACTTGATTTGATGTATTTACTAATACTATTACTTGAATTGTATTGAAAAGATTTGCCATATTATGATGGGTGCATGTGTGTTTTCCACATCATGTTCCAAATTTGTGGTTTGGGAGAAGATTGAGATTGAGCGTAATTAGACACCAAACTAAAAAAGTTTGGCGACGGATAATAAATATATATACACACACATGAATAAAGTAAGTTTATGTTTGGTGATCATCTTCTATATCATATCCCTCATATTACCCATTTGTGTGCTAACAGTTGAGTTTGTCGTTACATCAGATTTCTTATGATTTTTTGTCTTTGTGTCTTTTCGGAGCAAGATTCTCTTCCATTTAAAGTTTTATTTTATTCAGTCTTCTCCTATTTGAATTATCACGATTAAATTATGTTAACATTTTATATTGATTTCTTTATAAAAAAAAAAAAAAGATAAAGAGGAAAGTGAGAAAGGAGATGAGAGAAGAAAATTTAAAAAGGAGAGAATCCGATTTTTTTTTTTCTCGTGCAATATCTTTATGTTAGTCAAATTAGTATTCCCTTTGCAAGTATTGTATTTTGATTCTTAATATATAAGCTCCATTTACAATTTGATGAGCCTCAGTTTGTCAATTAATGGGTTTATTATATGTTTATAGTCTCTTTTTATTGAAGGTTTGTTTGGTAGGCTGCATAGGATTGAGGGATAAAATTGGATTGACAATAACATATAAAACATGATTTATAACCTGTGTATAAAGATGAATTAGATAACTCATTTTATTGTAAATTCAAAACTCATACTGTCCAGTCATGTCAATCGAACATTTTGATACAACAAACAACGAACAGGACTCAAATTCATTTCAATTACTCGGCAGTTGCAAAAACTTTAATACTAGATATAACTCGTTGCAATGATCTATATGTTCCAAGTTCCAACAAAGCGAAAATGGATCAATTTGGATGTTAATAGATGATAACATAATTAGCATCATTGCTGCCAATTCAAGTTTTAATTTGGTGGTTGGGAAATCATTCCCCGTTAACTTCGGCTTATGAAATCCATGGAAAGACTATCATTGCTTTTAGATTTGGAACATCACTTTTGTTAAAAATCATTCACATATCTGAAAAGAGAAACGCTAAGAAAATTATTTTAAAGTGTGATTCTCTATAAATTCTCTGTTATCTCATAATTTAATGTTAATTATAAAATATTGTGCAAAAAATATGAAGTGACAGAAAGTCGGAGAGTCCCACTTTTGAGAGAGTCTCCTTAGTATTTCTCGAGGTGACAGACAATCTATAAAGAATCTCCTTAGCATTTCTCTTTTGAAAAAAAAAAATTACCTCCATTCAAGTTTAAGGCACGATACTAACTAAAATTTGGTCTCATGAGAATGGTAAAGAGATTCTGTTAAAGTGGGACTTTTTATGAACTTTTTGTCATTTCACACTTTAACGTTAATTATCGTGCAAACATTATCAAATATTATATCAAAAATATGAAATTACAAATTAATACTTCTTCGTGTCTGGTTTCGTTGTCCCCTAAAAAAGAAAGCGACTTAGTTACAAATCGGAAAAGCCAAAAGCCAAATGCCAATGAAATGAACCAAGTCGTGAGAAACTAAAACTAAGAGTACCGAACTGACAAAAGTGCCCACCACCATATGTGTATTCACAAAATGCCCATATAATTTCAAGTGCATCAATTTACTGTGCACTCACTCAGCTCAGGACTGCGAGAGCTGAAGAAGCTCAGCCGTTGTTGCCGTGCAAGATAGCAGCGCGGTCGTCCGTACAGTCCGTACCCCTCCTCGGGATTCCCAATGAAAACCCTGATTTCCCACTTCACCATCAATTTTTTGAATCCTCAATCCTCGCCGTCGGCCTTCATCTTCCATTTTCCGTCACCTTCTCGGGAAAACCAGAACTTTCTTCACGTTTCTCGCAGAAAATGGTCTTGCAATCCCGGAACGGTCAGAGCTCGGTGTGCTTCTGACTCTTACGGCGGGTGGGATGACTTCACACTCGCCGGCGACCCGGGTCCCTCTGGTGAGTCCGATCAGTTTCGTCAATTTCTGAACTCTATAGGAATCGACGATCAAAAGCATGTTTTCGTGTTTCTGTTAGGCCTTGTGTGTGCTTTCGCCATTTCTAGGGTTAGGGTTTCTTCTATTGTTGTGTTTCCCGCTTTGATTTTAGTTTTCGCAGTTGGGTTTTCATTTGGATTTGTTCGTAGTGAAGGTGTTGGTGAAGTGAGCTTAATTGGAGATAAGAGAAGGGGAAAGGAAGAAAATTTAATTGCTAATTCTGATAAATTGAGGAAATTGGTGGAAATTTTCGACGATTTCCATGTTGAAGTTGGTAATTTGAAGTATGATATACAGAAAGCTATTGATTCGAGAGAAATTACAGTTACTGATTTGGGAAGATATGTAAAGGTCATTGAAAGTATTAGTTTGTCGGTGTCGAATGCTAGGAATGTTACTGATGAGTCTGTTAAAAATTTGGGCAAGTTCAGTGCTGAGTTAGCTGAGAGCAAAAAGGCGAGTAAAAGAAAGAAAGAGCCCGTTGGGATTGGATACGAGTTGTTCCAGTACATCGGAGGTTTATTCAAAGACAAATTGGCTGATTCGAAGTCTGGTAGAGTGAAAAACAATGTTAAGCGAGAGACTACGGAGAAAGTGATGGATGATCAAGCTCGAGGGAATGATCCAGTGCCTTCTGTTAAAGGAGTGGTTCTCGGTTCTGTTCATTCTCAAGAAGTGTTTAATAAGTCTGGTTTTGATGAGGCTGGATATGGAAGAATCAACGTTGCTTTTGAAAATAATACGTTGAGTTCAGAGGAGGTGGATGGGGGTCCTAACAGATCTACATCTGGAAAAGAGTTTAATTACCAGAATAATGGATTGCAATTCACGAGCAACAGTCACGTGTCTTTGAAGATGGATCGTAATAATCACACTGAAACGTGGGAATCCCCTGAAAGTCTACTTGATTCTGTAGATTTCGGTGTCAGAACGAAACAGATGGACAATAAAGCTTCCTTTGTACAAGAACAAATGCTGAAGCAATCTAATGGGGTTTACAGACCACCTAATATCAGGGAAAAAAATGTGAATGGAACTTATGAGTCTCATAGTAGAGAAGAGCATGTAAATCGCAATGATCATTCTCATTTGGCTGATCACCTGTCTGGACATGAGAGTGAACTACCTTCCCTTTCATCTTCGTTGGTTTCGGATGATATATTGTTTGATAGGTATGTTACGGAAGCTAATGATCTTCTAAAACAAGCCAAGGAATTTGTAAGGGTCGGACACAATGAAGAGCGTGCAGAGATAGTATTGTACAGGTCAGCCAAGTTGCTGTCCAAAGCCATATCTATGAAGCCCATGAGTTTGCTGGCAGTGGGCCAGCTGGGCAACACTTGCCTTCTTCATGGAGAATTAAAATTAAGGATTAGTCGCGAGTTGAGAATGCACCTTTCGAGAAGTGACCCCTTATCTGTTGAGAAATGGATTAGAATTCAGGATAAAGTCACCAGTAAAGATGAAATTGCATCACTCCTCATTATTGTGTGTGAAGAGTGTGAGGAACTTCTTGTGGAAGCAGGCAGAAGGTATAGAATGGCGTTATCAATTGACGGGAATGATATGAGAGCCCTATATAATTGGGGTCTTGCTCTCACCTTCCGTGCGCAGTTGATTGCAGATATTGGGCCGGTAAGAACTTGTTAACAATTTTTTTTTTCAGTTATCTTGAAAAAGAATTGTTCTTCAATGAGGGTTGAGGAACTGTTTAAAATTGCTCAGTTGAGTAAGCCAGATTATCGTCAGTTGAATTAGGCTTTAAACCCCTTCTTCTGTGGATTTCAGGAAGCAGCTTTTGATGCTGACGAACTGTTCTTGGCTGCAATCGATAAGTTCAATGCCATGATGTCAAAGGGAAATGTTTATGCACCAAATGGTATGTTTCTGGTCTCCCTTTCCTCATTCTCATAATTTTTTGGAAGATAGTCATAAGATATTTGATTCTATTTGGATTTCGAAAACCTGTAATTGCAGCTCTGCTTCGATGGGGTGTGGCACTACAGCAAAGATCCCGCCTACGGCCTAGCAATGGTAAAGAGAAGGTGAAGTTACTACAGCAGGCAAAGAGGCTGTATGAAGATGCACTCAAGATGGATTCGAACAATGTCCACGTGAGAGAAGCCTTATCATCGTGTGCGTCGGAGCTTGGCAGTAGGCGACTTTACTCTTAACTAAACCTGAAACAATACGTTGTTGCATCGGTTTCTCCATTTCGTTTTCCAAATTGTTTCCCTGTAGGCTCTCCATGCGCGAAATTATGCAGACGGTGCTTCTTTGATGTATGTGTATAGATAATAAGAAAAAAAGGTGATGGACAAGTGAAGATGGAAGAAAGTTTATCACATTGGAGAATTACATATGTAATAGGTTGATCGTGAGGATGTTACTTTTTTTTATGTAAAATAGTTTGAAGGAGAATGGTAAATTTACAATGATTAATCAGGTGGTCGGATCAACATCTGGGTCACACGAAGAAAAACATCGTCATCCTTATTTTCTTTATCGATTGCATACATCAAGGCATCTATGACAACATTGGAAGAATTATTACAACCACAACTTTAGGAGTGTGAGTCAAGGAAATTATCACCACCACCAATTGCAGGATCGGCATCGCGATCACCATGAATTTGAGGGCCACCATGAACATCACCGCCACCAAATGCAGGATGAGCAACACGAACGCCAGCACCACCAATTGCAGGATCAGCACCATGATCACCATGAAAGTCACCACCACCAATTTGAGGGCCACCATGAACATCTTCGCCACCAAATGGAGGAGGGGGAGGAGGAGGAGGGCCACCATCGCCATGAACGGCTACATCTATACATTCTATTTTTCTACAACTCATAATAAGAGTTCGCCATGGGTTGATGGCGAACTCTAATTACGAGGATTCCCATGCTGAAAGCAAATGTACGCATACGCCACTGTCAGAGGAGGCAACTCCAAATTATCGACAGCATAGACCTGCGGAAGCAAATCTTGCTCAAATGCCGGACACTATTATACAGTCTAAGATCAATCCATCCTCTCTATCGTACCGATCCCTTCAACAGTGATCCGCCAAACTTTCACAATCCGTGGGTTATTAAAATCACGAAGTATTGCCATTGCATCCCCGCGCGCTGTCAGCTGAAGGTTGATCACAGCATCCATTTCATTTGTAGTGTATTGAAATATGAAATCATCAGGAAGCATAAGACCCTGCTGGTTCTAATTCGGCATACTTCCATGCAACCGAAGATCCACAGCCATTGCATCCCCGCCTTCAGCTAATTCAGCCCGTATCAAATGTGTTTTCCTTCCTCAGCCATTCATTCAAACAAGAACCAACTATCTTGCATTCAATTAGCCGGATATATTAGCTATGTTCGAATCTGAACTTGTGCGTAGGTGATTGCCGAGAAGGATGCAAGGAGTAAACATTCCTGATATTGATGCGAAGAAGTTCGTTTCCATTCCATTTTCCTTTACTTATCTTGATTTGGATTGCTATAGTGGAATAAGATAGTTCCCCTTCACGTATTTTTGTTGTCTATAATGTTTTAATTTCCACATGTCGTTCTCAATATGTTGTAGCGATATTTTAACTTTTCACTAATAAGCGAGATGTTCGAATATTGTGAAGAGAAATATCATTCTCTTGAGTTGGTCCATGTGTTCTTGAAAATTGTTTGGACACAAGAACTCCAGGCCCGCAGTCTTGCACGTCTTGAAAATTGTTTGGACACAAGAACTCCAGGTCCACAAGAACTCTAGGTCCACAGTCTTGCACGTATTATTGTTATTTTCTATGGATCCTTGTGAACATTCTTAGCATTTTATCATCCAAATATACAATATTTTTTAATCCCAAGCGTACTAATTTAAGTTTTATAGAGATTTTTTTACCGCCACTTAATTATTATTATAATATTAGGTTCGAATTTTATGAATGATGAATGCACATACCGCAAAAAATGTGCAAAAAGAAAAACTTGATCCAGGGTTATGCCAAAGACCTCAAACTTTCCCGGAAGACTTTGAACATGCTTGCAAAGGTAACAGTGCCGAACAAAGTTGCATCCTCTTCTACAACCCACACGTAACTCACGCGATGCGAAAGCGCCTGAACCATCACCGCCACCAAGGAGCTCCACGGATAGCACACAATCGCCTCCGACCTCCTTACTAGCCGTGCCGAATAACCTCCCCCGGATCTCCTTCCCCACCCAAACTCTTCATCCGAAGACGTTGAACAGAAAGAAGAAGACGATGACATTGACTCTTCTTCCATTAGCTCCAAAAACGCCCCGTACTTCTTCTCCTCCAATCTCTCTTTCACCAACTGCACCAGCTCATCTGGCGGGCCACCGCAGTCAATGTACGCCATCAGGTCACCCGCGGAAAGCGTGGCAATGGCAGCGGCCACGGACTCGTGGCAGGTGTTGAGGGTGTACGGGGAGATCTCTCCGATCACCCTGCCGTCCACGTCAAGAATGGCAACGGAAGTTTGCTGGACGAGGGATTGAGAAATGAGGGGCAATACAGCAGAGGCAGGGTCGTCGTAATGGACGGCTAGGAAGTTTTCGCTGTCGATGACTTGGAGGGCGTTGATGGGGGTGTTTGAGGTGGGGCTGAAGACTCCTATGTAGTTGAGGAGGTAGCGGATGATGTCTTCTTGTGTGAGCCAGCAGTATTCACGGTGGTTGTGGAGGGTGTTGAAGGAGCGGTTGGGGAGGAGCTTTTTTCTTGCCGATGTGGTCCGGCGGCTTTGAATCGGAATCACTAGGTTTTGTGCACCTTCTAGAATTAGATCAATGGCATCCACCAAGCTGAAAATTACAAAAACAATCCAAATTAAACCAAATATAAAACATAAAATCCTAAAAGAACAATTTTCAAAGCCTTTTTCTTGCATTAAAAAAAAAATCAAAAGCCTTACGAATTAACACAAAGCAATAAAAATAGCACAGGATCAAGAAACAAACCTATCGTGTGGTTCCAAATGCCTAACAAGGCCAGACCCTTTTGGAATCAAAACCTCCAGCGGTGCCTCGAGCGCCGTCGCCGGAGACGACAAGTTCTCTTCTTTCCCCAAGAAGCATATAACGTCCACCATGCAAACCTTTCCTACGCATCGGCAGTCCTCCGCGGAGTCAGAGCTGCAGATGATATCGACGTTGCTCTTTTCCGAGTGGTCACAGCTCCAGACGCTGAGGCTGCTCTCGCCGAACCGCTTTAGGGCCGACAATGCCTCTCCGACCGTGGCGGAGATCGACACGGACTTTAGCGGAGGCTTCCCGAGGCAAAGATCGGACACTTCTTGCAAAAGCAGACGCGGTGCCATGCACGAACAAAGTCGAAAACCGAAGATCAAAAACCGAAATCCAATCAACCGATCAAACGTGAGAAGATTGAGAGCTTGAGGTTTTGGGGGTTGAAGGTTCAGAAAATGTTAAGGAAAATGAGCATTAAATTTGAGAATTAAAAGAGATTTAATTGTTTGTGAATTTGTGAGGTTGAAACTTGGAAGGCTATTTAAGGGCGGCCGTTACGTGGTAGACACGGATTCGGACTCTCGCTTAGAATATGCCAACTCATCTCCGTACTCTTATTTGTCACGGATTCTTCTGTTTTGTTGCGATCAGCCACAGAAGTCTGGATCCTCACCGGATTCTTGTGAGGATCTCAGGAATCCATAAATCGTGTTCATTCATCGTATATCATACGGTCAGAAATCATTTTAAATATTTTTATTTAAAAATAAATATAAACAGTACTTGACAAAAACTAACCGTACGATGTATAATGAACAGACACGATTAACGAATTCTTAACAAAAAGATCTGGACTGGATCCTGCTGGCAGCCGCTGAATTACAGATCACAAAAAACTAACAAAATAAAAAAAACTAGAAGTGTCTAGAAAAGATATTATCTTAGAAATAATATTTGGCTTTTCTTGACTAAGTAAACGTGTGAAACTATTTGACAAATGTGGTATTATATAAACAAGGGATGTTTTATTCACATCTCATATTTTGTTGATTACACCACACATATTTAATAAACACTACTTTTACTTTTTGAATTAAAATTTATATTAATGTACCCCACATTTTTTCCAATACTACCCTCATACCCACACTCTCAATATACACCTAACATTCAAACTCTTTATCAACATCTATTTTTATGTCAATTGAGTGTTTAATTTTCTATCAATTAGGGAGTTTAAATTTCATATTTGAAGAAATTGGATCAAAAGCATCAAATGCAAACCAAGTTTTGCAAAAAATAGAATAGAGCCCTTGCAATCTTAGCAAGTGAATTCAAAAGATTGTTCTAGAGAATTTTGGAAGTGTCCATCATCATCAAGCCATCACATTGAAGACTATTACTTCTATTTGCTCGAGTAAGGAGCAATAATGTGAGGATTATGACAAGTTGCCCTAAGTTGCATCATGAGGTTTTCAATATTTCTTTTCTGTATATGCCCAACAAGCAATAGCAAACTCCACCATATAAAAAACAAACCCGTTCAATTTTCTCTGTAGAAATTTTAGCCAATCGAATGAAATATTATAAACACAAATTGATATGTGATAAATGACATTGCATTAAATTGTGTCGTTGAATTCAATAGCGGGTGAGAGTGGCTTCAAGAGCATGAAGAAAATAATACACACTAAAAATGATTTGGAGGTGTATTCATAATCTTATGGGGCCTAAATAGTCTTTTTGTATTAGAGTATATAAGTAATATTTTATGTGGGGTGCATTCAATAATATGTGGGGTGCTAATAGAAAAACTCTAAAAACAAAGGAAAACTAATGTTAAGAGCTTTGAAAACTTTGAGTTTTAATCAAAATAACAAAAAATTGTAAGTAAATAGTATCATAAGTGACTTTTTAGAGTAAAAATATCATTTTCGTTAAAAGTGAACAATATCGAGTAAACAATTAAATATCGTTTAATAATATTTTTTCACATTTTTAGATTTTATCATCACGCTGGAGTGTAGTATTATTGATCAGTGTGATACAATATCGGAGAATTATAACATTGATAATGTCACTGAAGAACTAAGCAAGCAAACTATCACAAGGTGACTCAGTGGTTGGAGATGAATTCAAGGCTTGTATTCCATACATCATGTTCAAGGTTCGATTTCTCGCATCGTTGAATGATTAGAAGAAGTTAAAATACCTATATGAGTCTTTTCAACCCTTAAAAATGTGAACTAAGGTGACAAAATCATCGACCAGTCCGCTTTTAAAGAAAAAAAAATATCAAAGCAAGCATGTTCTCTATTGATGTGGCAAGGCCACTCCAAAGTTTATGGCTACAAATTCTACATACCTTAACCACATATATAGAATCTTTGTATGGTCCACGTTCTAATTATTTTTCAGCCAAATATCTTTAGTGTGTAGGTGCAATTAATATGAAATATGACACGACGAGAGAGACGTCAATAAAAAAGATATACTTTGATCATACGTTATAATTTGACGAGAGTACAAGTTAGACGTGAGTATTGATATTATTACAGTAATAGTTTAAATACTATGTGAATCTAGCTCCTAAACTGTTACCAAAATTTAAGAATTAATGAAAAAAGATAAACAATTGTATAAATCTTTTATCAAGTCTTTAAGTCAATACGAGTACGCGGCTATTCTGCGCCAAAGAAAATCACATAAAACCCTTCAAATTCATGGTCAATTCAAGGCCGGCATTCATGCACGTTAGCACCAAAATATGTAATTCACAAGTTGACAAAAAAAAAAAAAATTTGCAAATAAAACCTTTATTAATCAAAATATCCCCCTTCCATTCCTTGACTATTTATTTTCAATAAATGTAACTCATTAGAAGTGTTTTTAAAATGGCTGAAAACATTTTTAGTGAAAATACTTTCGAAATCAATTCTTAATAAATGACAAGTGAATATGCTAAGCACTTTATTGCTTCATGCAAAAAGCACATAATTGGTGCGGATAACGTTGGGATACCAAATTTTTAAACCAAATTTGCAAACTGAATGATGCGTCATCAATATAAAATAAGCACGTCAATCGATACTTAATTAATAATCTAATTATCAACAATCATATCATTTGTTTTACACAAGTTGGTTTAAAATTTTAGTCTCTTAGCATTACCTTAATTGATGCTTCTTGTAGTACTTTAGTGCTTTTGAAACCCAAAAACGTATATTTTAAAAGCATTTTTAGTTATTTTAAAAACAATTCTAAAACTTGAATTTCAAAAACACAGTTCCAAATAAGATCATAACTACATTAACTAAAGAGAATGTATCACATTGTGGATACGAGTTTAAATTAATTTACAATAAAATATCACCTGTATTAAAAAAAACATTTGTAAACATGAACCTTCCAATATCCAAATCGTTTTCCCTCAACCGCCGAAATAGAAACAACCCCAGAAAAAGAGGGTGAATTTTCGAAGGATCTTTCCAAATTCGCGGCAAGATTTTTTATGTTTTGTTTGTTATCAACATGGGGACATGAATTTCCATGGCTCACACATCGCACACGTGGTCGTGAATATACCTTGATGATTGAGACACATTCAAAACCATAAAATATCGATATAATAGCAGATTATTGGCTTGAAAGTTTGATCTAATCCTCTCGAACGAGAGATTAAGCTCGTTTAAAAATACTTTTAAAATAGTTAAAAGCGTTTTTTATGAAAATATTTTAGAACTCATCTTTAGAAAAATGGTAAGTGAATTATGAAAAAAAGTTTATTATTTCATGCAAGAAGCACATAATTCGTGTTTTTTTTTTTGCACAAAGCACTTTAAGTGTTTTCAGTCATTTTAAAACAGTTCTAAACACGTACGTATTGACATCACGCACACTTACTACATTTTTAGCGCTCACTAGTATTTTTACGCACTTTTTATTTTTGTTTGCTAATGAAGAAATCTCATCAGGCACAAAGCTCTAGAATAAACTTGCACAACACGTTATTTTGTTAAATCATACTTCTTTTGTTCATGTTCATGTCTTTTTATCACTCTCTTGTTGTCACTTAATTCAACTTGGTCCAAAATTAGAGGTTAAATCATCAAAATGATTGTCGGCCTCACATCAAATTACCTGGGACGACGGTCCAAAATCAGACCATGATTTTCGGAGGCCATTTTCAGTCTTTTAATTTAGCCCCAGCCAATCCTGATAATGTTCATGTGTTGGTGCGTCAGCGCTCACGTACGTGGTTGTACGACATCCTCTGAACCTGGTTAAGGGGAATAGATCCCTCCAAATCGCTTTCATCCAGATTATGGAGATCTTTCAATCTTGGACTTGAAAAGATCATATTCTAATTAAGGGTTGCATTACCTTAGTTTGGTACTAAAATGACATTATTTTATATGCTAGTCCGAGCAATTCCACTCGTTAAGTTGTAATTACTCTAATAGAAATTGTTTTTGTGCAACTGCACTCGTTGAACGAGGGCAATAGTAATTATTTTTGCTCAAGAAATTAAATTTATAACGAAAAATCTCGAACGCAACTAAGTCCAGTACAATCAAAGAAGAGAGCATAACAAGCATTCATCGAATGGGCTTTTTTGTTAATGTGGCAACTGGTGGGAGTTCACTGTCTGATTTAGGCCCGTTTAATATAGCGGGATTATCTGAACAAACACTGTTTTTTACATGGGGCCTGGCTTTAAAATCAGCCGTTCAATCAGGCCCAATAGCGATCGCGTCCAATGGTACTCACATCGCCAGATCGGAAGAGCCTGCAAACCGCGAGCTTCTGGTTTCAGCGAATTTCCAAAATTAGGGTTCTTCTCGTTTGAAATTCGGACTGCTACGATGTCAGATTACGAAGGCGTCAGCAAGGTTCTTTTCTAATTTCCGTTCTGTTAATTTGTTAAGCCAATTTCTGAAACTATGCTTTCTCGTTTCATTTGTCAATTTGTTCATTATCGATATGTTAATTTGTCGAATCGGATTAGATTTGGGTAAAGTTGTAATTTATGGTTTTCCAAAGTAAGATGTTATTGTTTCTGTTTGTTAAACACTTAGGGCATGAAATTAGGCAGTAATTTGGTATATTTGAGTTTGAACCCCTTTTCCCTAGAGGAAGCGATGAATTTGAAATGAATTACTTGATTTGAATGCGAAGTATTTGTAAAGAGTGATGCATACATAGTTTCGGATCGCGATTTTCTGTTGTGTATGTTTGTGTGACGATTATCGAATGGCTGAGTGATGTTTTAATTGCCTCAGTACAATTCTCGTGGATCAGAACGTGAGAGCTCGCGAACAGATCGAGAGCGAGACCGAGGTCAAGATAGAGAAAAAGATGGTGACCGTTATACACGAGAGTATAAGGATAGAAGTGGAAGATTTGACAGAGGGAGGAACTCGTATGATGGCTATCTCCGCGGTAGAAACCAAGATTTCGACAGGTTAGACATGTGCTTCTTAATGAAATAAACTTATCCAAGATTAGCTGGACATTCTTCTCCTTCGACTGATACAGTTGACATTTGGTAGACTTACAGATATTTCCCTACCATCCGCAATGATGGAATTTGTTTCTTTATTATTTCATGGTATATCTTTGGTATGAAATATTAGCTTTTTCAATGTAAAAGATACTTCTGGGCTTTCAGATGGATTTCCTTACTAGTGTAGTTGTGACATATTTTTTCCATAAAGCTATACTACTTATCCTTCTGTTATCACTTCAATAATAATAATGCAGGACAACTGTCAGGTATTCCCCAGACGATGCCTGGAGTGGTACAAAATTCATTACCTTTTGGGGCATTGCATGTACGTTTCACCAGTATAAGCTTCTATGGGATCTTGAGTTCGATTTTTCTTTTGTGTTCTTTGTGAATAACTTCATATGCTTTTGCTTGTTACAGATGGCTCTTCCATTGATGCCAGCTCAAGCCAAGACTCAGCAGGTAAATTTATTATATTTATGTTCATATATATAAATTTGCACAATTTATTTTTCTCATAAATACATGAACGGCATCTTTTTCATTGGCTGATGAGCAGTATATATATATTTCTCTCTTGCAGGCTACAAGGCATGCATGTCGGGTATACGTTGGTCGGCTTCCTCCCTTGGCTAATGAGCAGGTTATAGTTCTGGATTTTGTTTTGGATTCTTTCCCAAGTAATAGCAAGTGTTTTGACTCTATACTGGAGTGGAGATGAACGGGGAATCTAGGCTAAAGTTTGATGCCATTTGTGTCATCACTCTAGAATCTAGGGATTTACTTTGTATATAAGGTAGCTTTCTGTAGGTTGTTACCGGGCCAACTGCAATGGGTTACAAATAAGCCAAAATTTTGATTAAATGTATTTCAATTTTTGAAATTCTATTTTTCTTGTATTCTTTAAAAGACTTTGATGGAATGTTATATTTTTGTCAGACAATTGCCACATTCTTTAGCCAAGTCATGGCTGCCATTGGAGGAAATTCTGTTGGTTCAAGTATGTGTAATCCTAGTCTCACTTTAACTAGGTTCAACATGCGCCTTAATGTATTACATGATTCAGGATCCTATGGGTTTTATCTGAGAGCAATGTGTTTTCCAGTATCTGAAATTGCAGGTGATGCGGTTGTAAATGTCTATATTAATCATGAGAAGAAGTTTGCATTTGTGGAGATGAGAACGGTTGAAGAAGCAAGTAATGCAATGGCATTAGACGGGATTATATTTGAGGCATGTCAATTACAAGTTATCATTACAGTTTTGTTTTTTGTTTGATCTGTTTATAATCATCATAGGGGAAGGTGTCAATGGTAAAGTACCGTAAAAAGAAGAATGTGAGGGTAAAATAAGAAGCATAACTAGTGTAGAACTGAAATGTTATCATGTCTATTGGATTAAAGCTTTTCTAATTTCAGTATTATCAAATTCATTAAGTTGGTTAACTCTCTTGGGTAAGGAACCCTATCAATTTTATAGAGAATTATCATAAATATGCCAAAAAAAAGATAACATATTGAGATTTGTATTTGTTGGTTATGATGGGGCTTATGTCTGAATCTTTGGATAATGTTTTAATCATTCTTTCTGTGTGCTCTGTGGGGTATGGAGGAAATATTTCTTTGTTGACATGCTCCTTTTGATTATCAGGGGGATGCTGTGAGGGTAAGAAGGCCTAGCTGCAACACTTGGTCCTAGCCAACCAAGTCCTCACCTTAACTTGGCTGCCGTTGGTCTCACACAAGGGTAGGTCGATTTCGGTTTTTCAATTTGAAGACTACTTTAGTTTCATACTCTCTATAATTACTTTTGAAGTTTTTGGATTTGAGTTGTAAAAGTCTTCTGTTGTACTAATTTTGCATTTGTTTGGCAGGGCCGTTGGTGGAGCCGAGGGACCTGACCGTATCTTTGTGGGTGGGTTACCTTACTACTTCACTGAAGCTCGGATTAGAGAATTGCTTCAATCCTTTGGGTATGGGCATAAATTTTCGGCAATCTTGACATTCCTCATTTATGATAAAACCGTAGTTGCATATTCTAACTTCATATTGATCACTGCAGACCTCTCCGTGGTTCTGACCTCGTGAAGGATAAATGTACAGGAAACTCTTAAAGGATATGGATTCTGTGTTTATCAGGTACATACTCAAAAGCCCGGCTTTGATTTTGATTGTTACTTTTTCAATTGTTTGTTTTCTTCTCAGTGATTGATTTTAGGCCGTCTCCTTTCTCTTTTATACCTATATACTGTTTTATGATTCTTGGAGGTCACTCCTAAAAATCTGGTCGACTGATGTTCTAGAACTTGAGGATCCAACTGTGACAGACATTGCCTGCGGTGCTCTCAACGGCTTAAAAATGGGTGATAAAACTTTAACTGTCCGGCGTGCTACTGCCAGGTTGTTATTCTTTCAAACTGAAGGGCAAGCCTGATCTTTTTATTATTCAAGCCAAGTTAGATAATTTGGAACCTTTTTGGAATGATTTTACAGCAACGGGCAGTCTAAAACAGAGCAAGAAAACATCTTGGTACAGGCACAACAGCATATAGCCATGCAGGTAAGGAATACACATCATTGGTTCGTTGTATATGTTTTTCGAATGCACTGTTGACTTATGTCTTTCGTTGTAGAAAATGGCCGTGCAGGTTGTTGACTTGAATCTTCTAGGAGCTGGAATGGCAACTATGGCGAGTGGTGAGACACCCACTATAGTCCTATGCTTGACTGAGGTAGTTGACATTTATTCAATACTATGGTCAATCGTATTCAAGCTAAAAATTAACAAAACGAGGTTAAGAAGATCAACAACTTCAGGTCGTGAAGATCGAAAATCACACTCGGTTTTATCCTAATCTCACACAATTCACAAGCTTTGCTACACATAAAATAGCCGTACCTACAAGTGGATTGAAGACCAGCCCATATGAAAAATTTAGGACCCATCTTAGTACTATGATCTAATGGTATTCTTCTTTACTTGTAAATGTGAGGTCGTAAGTTCGAATCTGGCCAAAGACGAATTTGAACCATAGTATTGTGAACTTATTGTGAGGCTAAAGTTACCCACTCCACTTTAGTGGAGATGATATTGGTTTTTTTTTTTTTTTTAAAAGAAAAAGAAAAAAACAGACCCATAGCATCTCTGTAAAACTTGACTTGTACATTTTTGTATTCTTGCATCTTTTGTCTTGAGCTGTGTCTGGGCTCACTCTCTGGTCCTGAAAAAACAAAATCCAAATGCAAATGTGTTTTGTGTTTTGAATCATAAAATTGAAAGGAAGAAGACGATAGAAATATGTAAGTGTTACGAAATTCAAACTTTAAACATGAAAATTAAAATTTCACGATCCTTGAGAGTAATATAGTAAAAATTATATAGTATTATTATTAAGAATACATTCGTTGTCAATCATGACGTGGAAATTACCATTTCATACTTTTTCTCTCGCAAACTTCCATCTCTTGGAGTAGATGTTTTTTAATTTCTTTTATTTTTCAATTTATATGTATGATATTTCTTTTCTTTCTTTTTTCAAGTGACCACAATTAAATAAAACAGAAGCCTGTGGTCCTTTTGCCAGAAAATATTGTTTGTTTGAGGCTTGTCGGTACTAATTGATAAATTTTTAGTTGTGATGGGAACACGGGTGGTATACCACGTGTTTTTAAGCAAGTGGTGAAAAATTTTATTTTTTAAGTTATTAACTTTTTAACACACATATCTCACAATTTATATGGAGACACGTGGTGTACCACATCATGTGACGGTCACACTGAAAAATTTCTCGTGCTAATTGGTACCTCTATATAAAGAGGGCATGCATGTTCATTGTTGCAAGCAACCTACCATACCATTTATGCAAGCCATGAACACTCATCTGCTTCTTTCACCCACTACTACAGTTATTGACCGCCGACCTAATAATTTGTTCCCAAAGAAGCTGTCCTCCCAAAGTAGCTGTGTAAATCGGAAGGGAAGGCGGAGCTGCTCTGTAGGCCACAAAGGAGCAAATGGTGCTCACAATATTAACCCTACCTGCAGGATCAAGCCGGAGGCCGACGAGGACAGGAGAAATAAAATGGACAGGAGAAATGTGTTAATTGGTCTTGGAGGAGCAGGTCTTGGTCTTGGTCTTGACACCAATCCATTGGCCTCTGGTGCACCAATTCCCCCTCCGGACTTTAGCACGTGCGGCAAGACTACGGACGAAGTAACAGGACTTAATTGTTGTCCGCCAACAAGTGAAGTCAAAACTCCCACTCGCTTCAAGCCAGTAGCGCCCCCAAAAAGCTCAGTCCGCACTCGGCTAGCAGCTCAGAATGCTGTCAAGGATCCTGACTACATAAAGAAGTACAGAAGAGCCACTGAGCTCATGAAGGGCCTTGACGTTGACGACCCGCGTAATTTCTGGAACCAAGCTAATGTTCATTGCAGCTATTGCGATGGTGCGTTTAATCAAAACTTAGCTGGGTACAAATGTCTGGAGATACAAGTTCATAATTCGTGGCTCTTCTTTCCCTTCCACCGCTGGTACCTCTTCTTCTACGAGAGAATCCTCGGTAGCCTTATTGACGACCCGACTTTTGCTCTGCCATTTTGGAATTGGGACAGTCCTGATGGCATGTACTTGCCTGAATTGTTTGAGCTCGACAACGGCGCCTCCCCTCTGTACGACCACTACCGCAACACCAAGCACCGGCAGAAGGATTTCTTGCTGGACCTCAACTACAGTGGTACAGACGTCCACCAAGACCCAAAAACGCTAATAGATAATAACCTCAAAACCATGAACCGGCAGATGAATACCAAGGACCGGTGCGTATTCTTTGGGCAACCTTATAGGGCTGGCGACTGTCCAAACCCCGGTGGAGGAAACATTGAGCTTATACCCCACAATACGGTCCACAACTGGACCGGTGACCCCAAGTGGCTTGCGGAGGACATGGGAAAGTTCTACTCTTCCGCTCGAGATCCAATCTTTTTTGCACACCACTCCAACGTGGACCGCATGTGGCACCTGTGGCTCGAGAAAATAGGAGGCAAGAATTTGGAACAAGATGACTGGCTTAACGCCGAGTTTTATTTCTATAACGAGAAGAAGGAACTGGTGAGTGTTACCGTCCAGGACTCGATCGACATTGGAATACTCGGCTATGCTTACGAAAATGTTGACATTCCGTGGCTCCAGACCAAGCCAACTGCACGTAAACCAGCGAATAAGGCGAAACCTGATGGTTTAGGACTCCAAGATCAGTCCTCTGCAGCTAAAGGTGGATTCTCTTTGGACTCCAAGATCAGCATTGCGGTGCCGAGACCAAAGCAGGGCGTGGAGAAGGCGGAACGAGAGGAGATATTGATCTTGCGAGACATTAAATTTCCGAGCGACCAGGGTTTGAAGTTCGATGTATACGTGAATGATGATGCCAACACGCCAAGTCAGCCCAGCCAGAGTGAGTTTGCGGGGAGCTTTGTGCATGTCCCGCACAAGCACGGCATGACTTTTAAGACCAACCTGTATTTGGGAATCACGACGTTGTTGAAGGACGTGGGAGCCGATAAGGCCGCTAGTGTGGTGGTCACTTTGGTGCCAAGGTACCGGAATGGGCCGGTCAGCATTGGGGGCATCAGCATCGAGCAATCTTCTTGTGACTGATTTCCGTAATGATTCTTAACGACAGAATCCTGGGAGTTAACTATTAAAACCCACGCTATAGTATATACGTATGAATAAACCATGATCTGTCGTCTCGGTCAATGCATGCATCCCTGTTTATCTATGTATCCTGCTGCTATTCCATCTCCCATCTCTGCTGGCTTTAATAAATTCTCTAAACTTTTTATTACTCTGCTTTTATCTTGGTTAGTGATTTTTTCGAGTTTCTTCTCCGTCAATTTCAAAGCCCGAGTCTCTACACGTACCATCTATTCGCCCTATCAAACATATCAAACCCACGACCAGATTGCAGAAAGGAAAATAATTGTAAGTTTGATTGATGGGAAATTTGGATTAGAGGTTATGAATCGTATGATGCTGGCTAAGAAAGTTAATATTAATAATTTTGTTTTCTCATTGTATTTGGTTTAGAAAACAACAGGTAGGTGGCTACTGGCTAGGAAGGGGAGCCTGCCATGGAAGACAGGAAGAGTGGCAACGATAAGATGCAAAGTAGTCTAATACAATATTCTCACGTGGCCTTATTAAATTTGTCAGATTAGTCTAGCGGTCCTGATTGTTTTAAATGCGTGTTATTATATCGCATCCAAATGAGAGGTTTTTTTGTGCATAATTTGTCACCTGATGTTATTATTCAATATATTAATTGTGTATGTTATAGACTTAGGGTAGATAATAAATAATAAATACAAGTTTTTTTTTTTTTTTTAATTTTTTTTAACAAACAGTATTATCTACAGGAGGGGGTGGGCTTAGCCTCACAATGAGTCAGCAATAATGTAGTTCAAATTCGCCTTTAATGAAAATCAAACATGTAACGACCCGTCCCCAAATTTAACGGGTTTATGAATCCAAAAGATGTTTTTTTTAATCACTATTTTGTATTATTTTTATTATTATTATATTTTATTTTAAATGTTTAATCAGATATTTTAAATATAATATTAATATTTATGGTTTGCGGGGCCCACACCTTATCCAAAGTCTCCACACTCACTGCTCCACGTGTCCCCTTCCTAAGCTCTATGGAATCTCTCCCAAGCTCTCTCTGGAACTCATCTCTCTCGGCTCACTCCCTCTCTCTCGAAGACTCTCGAACTCTCTCTTCGTGCCTCCCTCAACTCTCTCAGCTATCTCTTCACTCTGTTTCTCCTGCATCTCCCCCTCACACTCTCTCTTTTTTCTCTCAGTCTTCTCCCGCATCTCTCTCTCTAACTCTCTCCTCCCCCTACAACACCGACGTCGAGGACCACCACCATTCATCGTCTACTCCAGCGAGCACTGCCACCACAACCCAACCTTCCACCTTGTCCTATCTCTATCCCTGAACCCATAACTAAGGACAAAATTGTGGAAAATCCTCGTATCGAATAGCTCCGACATCGAACGGGATGTTTGACGAATTCACAATGTTACTCCAACTTGGGTAAGGATTGAGAACGCTCAAAACCCCTTTTTTAATGACTTTTTGGTGCGAGTTATGAGTTCCCTGTGTGTTTTGACAATGAAATGGTACAGAGATAACTTGGGGAAGTTATTTCCCAAATTCCGGCAAAGCCCGAGATGTTTGGAAGCTATTTTTGACCGACTCCGGGTACATCAGGGGACCATAATGGTATATTCTTGTTCCTGGCATTCTTAATATCATTTTTGCCTTTTTGACTCATAGAAAATGGTTAAGTTTTGAAGCTAATCAGAGCTCGGGAATTTTTCGACCAAAATTCGACCTTCTTATTCGTTGGGTCCGGCAACCAGCGAACCCAACATTTGGTCCAACCCAGCAAATCCGGCCCAAACCAGATGCAATCCTACCTGGCCTAACCCAGATGCAATCTAACCCGAAACCTAGTGACTCGACTCGATGGACTTCGAAATATTCCATTAGGAAATATTCTCTGGAATATTCTGAGTTGACTGCTCAGCGTCTCGGTTGACTTTTTAGGATCAATTGTTGACTTCTTATGAAATTTACCTAGACCCCTCTTAGGGTAATTCGACGCCCTGATTCTAAATTCGTGCTTCGTTATCCCAAAATTGATCGTTATAGAAGGGTTTTACTAATTGGTCCCTCACTTATGCTTAGGTACGATTACCATCAAAGATTCCTATTTTCTTAACTCGGACGGTTGCGACCTCGCAAGTATCTGTGAGCGGACCCCTTCTTAAATTGCATGATTTTTATTAAATGCTAGGCTTGCATTCACAAAAAGCATGATTTCATGATTTTACGTTTTATGCATTATTTATGATTTATCGAATTTACGTTTTACGAAACGTCTAGAATTATTGGATTTTCGTTTATGAAATACTATGAATTTGTGAATATGATTTATTATGGATTTATGGGATGAGGCTTTGAGCTTTTGAGCTCCAGTGATTTGATATGAGTTTTTGAGATACGTTTTCTATGCTTATCTAGTGGGTAATCATACAACACATACACTCAACCTGAGTATGTATACGTTTATGGCCATATGACACAACTGAGGATATTTATGACATACTCCCAGCTTCACTGGCAAAACCAGTGTCCGACAGCTTCGCTAGCCACGGCTAATACGGTGTGTTATGTAGATATATTTCTTCTCTAGCACATAACTAAGGACAAAATTGTGGAAAATCCATAACTAAGGACAAAATTGTGGAAAATCCTCGTATCGAATAGCTCCGACATCGAACGGGATGTTTGACGAATTCACAATGTTACTCCAACTTGGGTAAGGATTGAGAACGCTCAAAACCCCTTTTTTAATGACTTTTTGGTGCGAGTGATGAGTTCCCTGTGTGTTTTGACAATGAAATGGTATAGAGATAACTTGGGGAAGTTATTTCCCAAATTCCGGCAAAGCCTGAGATGTTTGGAAGCTATTTTTGACCGACTCCGGCCACATCAGGGGACCATAATCGTATATTCTTGTTTCTGGCATTCTTAATATCATTTTTGCCTTTTTGACTCATAGAAAATGGTTAAGTTTTGAAGCTAATCAGAGCTCGGGAATTTTTCGACCAAAATCTGACCTTCTTATTCGTTGGGTCCGGCAACCAGTGAGCCCAATCGGGTTAACACTGTTAGACCAAGTCCGAGTCTGGTGGTGGTTTCCTCAAATTCAGGAGGTTGTGATCAACCTAAACTCTTATCCAAGAAGAGTTAGATTAGTTCAAACTTCTTTTCGAATGTTAGTTGTTTCGAACCCATATGAGAAATAGAGAGGCCAATATCATTACCTACACCACCCACATTCTGATTACCATTATACTCTAGTGGGTTTACCAGATTCTGAATGTCTGGAGTCACATGAGCATTAGCACCGGTGTCCAAAAGCCACTGTCCATTATTCTGCCGATTGAGAGGAACCGAAGATGTTGCCATGGCAGTAAGCTGTTTTGCTGGAATTCTCCCTTCATAGGCTGCATTCATTCTTTGATAGCAATCTAGGGCAGGATGCCCTTGTTTTCCACATATCTGGCATGTGAGTCGTTCTCCTGTGTTAGTAATTTTCTCACCATTGCAGGCCGAGTTTGGCCTTTGATTATTATTGTGAGGAAAGAACCCCCGCGGGTTGACCGCACCACCACCACGTGCGGACTGAAAAGCACCACGTCCATTTCCATGAAGTCGCCCACCACGACCTCTGGTAGTGACAAAAGCATTCACCGGAGCAGCCTCCACAGGCTGAGCATTCTGTGCAGCCATGCGTCTCTCGGTAGTCAGTAGGAGGGCCTCAAGTGTAGGGTACGCGATTGGAGTATCACGTGCTTGAGCAGCACTCACTGTCATTTCATAGGCAAGGCCCAAATTGTTCAAGATAATCTGGACAAGTTCATCATCATTCACGGCCCAAACTAGATGCAATCCTACCTGGCCTAACCCAGATGCAATCTAACCCGAAACCTAGTGACTCGACTCGATGGACTTCGAAATATTCCATTAGGAAATATTCTCTGGAATATTCTGAGTTGACCGGCTCAGCGTCTCGGTTGACTTTTTAGGATTAATTGTTGACTTCTTATGAAATTTACCTAGACCCCTCTTAGGGTAATTCAACACCCTGATTCTAAATTCGTGCTTCGTTATCCCAAAATTGATCGTTATAGAAGGGTTTTACTAATTGGTCCCTCACTTATGCTTAGGTACGATTACCATCGAAGATTCCGATTTTCTTAACTCGGACGGTTGCGACCTCGCAAGTATCTGTGAGCGGACCCCTTCTTAAATTGCATGATTTTTATTAAATGCTAGGCTTGCATTCACAAAAAGCATGATTTCATGATTTTACGTTTTATGCATTATTTATGATTTATCGAATTTACGTTTTACGAAACGTCTAGAATTATTGGATTTTCGTTTATGAAATACTATGAATTTGTGAATATGATTTATTATGGATTTATGGGATGAGGCTTTGAGCTTTTGAGCTCCAGTGATTTGATATGAGTTTTTGAGATACGTTTTCTATGCTTATCTAGTGGGTAATCATACAACACATACACTCAACCTGAGTATGTATACGTCTATGGCCATATGATACAACTGAGGATATTTATGACATACTCCCAGCTTCACTGGCAAAACCAGTGTCCGACAGCTTCGCTAGCCACGGCTAATACGGTGTGTTATGTAGATATATTTCTTCTCTAGCATAACCCAGAGTTGAACAACTTGACCTTCGGGTGATGGGGCCTACCATATTTCTTCACCAGCGTAACCCAGTGTCGTACAGCTTCACCTTCAGGTGATGGATATGCCTTCAGGCAATTATGATATCCCTAGTTGAGTATATCGCTGAGTTGTTTTATGAGATTCTTTATATTTGCCCTTGGGCGTTTCGATAAGACTTTGAAGAGATGGTTTTATTGCTACGAATAATTCTTTTGGGCATGTTAGAGTTTTCAGAAAAACCTACTATGTAGTATTATATGAGTTTTCAAAACAAGAGGTTAGTATGTTCAAAAAGAAAATGGTTTTCCTATTATTATTATTATAAACTATGGTCCACTCACCTTTTGTTTTTGCGCCTCCTCTAGGATTTAGAATCGAGGTGTACGATCCCGGCGTCAGGGCACTTCCACATAGGTATCTTCAAGTCTTCTCAGTGTAGTACCCATTCCTTGGTTCGTACCTTCTTATAATAATTCTTCCACATTATTCTTGATTAATTGTATACTCTG